GTAATAAACACAAGGGGAACACCCAGATTCTTAGTAGACATGTGCTGTACACAAGGGATTGTCATGAAGTTCGATTTGAGCCACTGCAATCATAAGCAACACCATGCTATTTATGCAAACGATTCAAACCACCATGCATGCTGTTGTGTCGAATGCTATATGTGGGTTCGGAGATTTGTGCCAGACTCGGGAGCTCAAGTGTGCAGAAACCATGCAAGACCCAAACGTATCATTGATTGAGGTACAGATACAATGTACATCTCTCTTCCCAGAAGCGAGAATGAGTTCTCGCTTCTAGAACTCCAGAAGCGTGCACTCATCTGCGTGCAGAGTGCATGAAAGCATGTCTTTGTGTCCTGTAATGGAGCAGCTATGAACGTGCCCATGCTTTGCTGCATAAGCTAAGTAACACTGTTTTAGTCCACTTTTTGCATGTGACGACGACAACATATGATGCCTTCAGATCCAACAACGCTTCTGTTCTGTTTTGCCCTTGCTCAAACTCTATCCTCCAACCACACAAAATTTGCCAACTCAAAGATCTTCAACATGACCTCTCTGGGAAGTCCTACACGGTGCTTGAGAACCACTCCCGCAATTGTCTGACAGTACAGAGCCTGCTCCAAGTGAAGGACTGTAGCAGGGTCTAGGTCAGCACTCGTATAACCCTCCTGAAGTAGCACCTGAGCACACTTGGGCCCTGTCTTGAGCATGTGTGGTGTGATCTCTTCACTGCTTTCGTCTTCACTTCTCCTTTCATACCCTTCGCGCAACTGGCGGAAAGTGTCCACGTCGTCATCTTCAGCTGCCATAGCAACAAAGTCAGACAACCTTTTCTGATCGTCCAAGAAAAGGTTCCAGAAGGCGTCTTTTGCATACTCCAAGATCCACGGGAGGTTGTCCATGTCCAGGGTGCTTCCACTCCAAGGACACCCTTGCTCGAGCGCCCACAGGAATACAACCTTGCGCCCTTCCTCGAGTGCCCTGTCACATGTTGCTTCGTCCCAGACGTCCACCCACCAATTGATCTCCTTACAGGCCCACTCAAGCACATTCAAATGCCCTCCAGCTGCAGCAGCCGCACAGATGTCGGTGCTCCACTGCAACCCATTTGCAGCCAGCCACTGAAGGATGTCCACACGCCCACACTCCGCAGCGACCTCACCGATGTCCTCGCCCCAAGGGCAACCGTTCTCTGTGGCCCACTGTAACACATGGAGGTGCCCAGACTCTACAGCGACTTTGCAGGTCTTTTTGTCCCAAGGGCACCCGGCTGCTCTGGCCCACTGTATCACTTGAAGGTTCCCCTGCCTTGCCGCAGCTACGCAAGTGCCACCCCAAGGATACCCTTCTGCGCGAGCCCATTGCAGCACATTCACGTGCCCTCCAGATGCCGCAAAACGGCAGATGCTGTCGTCCTTGGGGGTAGGTGCCCCATGCGAAATAGCCCATTGAAGCAGTTCTAGGTTCCCGCTATATGCAGCATAGCTGGCTGTCTCATCTCCCCAAGGGCGGCCATTTGCTCTAGCCCACTTCAAAACATGGAGGTGACCATTCAAGGCTGCTAGATGACATGCATGCTCGTCCCACGGACACCCATTCGCACGGGCCCACTGAAGGGTCTCCAGGTGCCCCCCCTCTGCTGCAGCGTGGCAGGTCCATTCATCCCATGGGCACCCGTTGGCACGGGCCCACTGAAGAATCTCCAGTGGCCCCCCTTCTTGCGGCCCTGTGGCAGGTCGAATCATCCCATGGACACCCTTGCGCCCTGGCCCACATCAGCACCTCCATATGCCCTCCTGCCGCCGCGCTCGCACAGGTTTGCTTATCCCATCCAACACCATTGGCGCGGGCCCACTGCAGAACAGCCAGGTGGCCATCGTATGCTGCAGCAGAGCATGTGTTTTTGTTGTAACGGCCCCCCAAACACCCCTTCTTCTTAAGCCACTGCAGGATGTGGAGGTGTGCTCTGCTTGCAGCAGCGGGGGAGATAAACTGGTCGCAGTGGTAATAGCGCAGTAACCCTTTTGCTTCTGTCCATTCTATGACCGGTAGTTGTCCACCTTTTGCTGCAGCAGTGCACAGCTTGTCGAGGAGATCGTGGTCACCTCGGACTGTAAACTCCGTGCTTCTAAAGACCGTACCCTGCTCTGCTCTCAAGCGCCAAACACGTTTCTCGTCTGCCTGACACCATGACTCCAAGGTTTCCAAGTTCCCGGCCTCTGCTGCAGCAACCACTTCTTCAGGAGTAGGCATCCTTGCTGAAGCCGCTGGTACGGTAGCCCCGCTTTCCTGGCCGCGGCTCTTATGGAGCAGGCCTCTTATTCCAATTCTTCGACAAATGAACGAACCAGAGTATCACTGGCAGAATTTAGAGGCAAGCCGCACGCATGGTTTCCCGGATCGGGGTCGATATGGCTTTCCGTCGAACCCGGGCACGAGTCTATGTATGCGGAAACGTGCGGATGATGTACGGTTCAGAAAGTGGATGTCAGAAGTTTTCGCGCCGTTTTTGGAAACGTGAGCACCGTGACGTACCTCCCGAGGCACAAACCAAACGTCCGGACTTGAAGTAAGTACCCCGAATAACCCCGGTCCGGCCTGAAGAATATATATCCCGGTTGGGAATTACCTTTTCCGGCATAGTCGGGCACGCACGGGTGTCGATACTAAGATTTAGGAATCGTGGGGCACTGGCTCAGCTTCAAGTCCACTAAGCTTCGACGCAGAGCACGTATAAAGGGACAGGAGCCCACCTTTCAATCTCAAAACTTTGCCCCCAAGGGAGGATGACGGACCACAAAAATTTCCTCCCCCCAGCCCGGGACAACCCCGTTGACTTGAGGGTACTAGGTAGCGTTGACCAAGCGACCCTGATCAGGACATGCCACTGCTGCAACAATGCTGCTTTCGTAGTGGTCAACGGCCAGATCAGAGTCTCTCCACAGGCAGTGTCCTCAACTCTCAGAGCCGGGTTCTTCATCTGTACTGGCTGTCCTCCCCCAGAAATTGCTAAGATGACAGGCAAACCAAAGCAGGCACGTGGTAGTAAGAAGGCCCGCCCCCATGTTCGAACCTGGTGCATTAGGTGCTTGACAATGCGAATTCCTGGTGGCTTCGAGAGTGCATTCAGGCAACGGGAGGATGGATCCTGGGAGCAAATGCGCTCTAACTGCTGGCATTGTGTTTCTTCGTCTACCACAACATGCAACTCAAGTTGCCCGCGTAAGGTAGTTGCGGAAGAACGTTCCAGAAAAAGAAAGCGGGCAGCAGAGGAAATTGCAAGTACTTTGGTGAGCGAAGAGGAGGAAGAACAGCCTACACTGGTTGCCCCTGGGATCCTTTTACGGTACAGTGCGGAGGAGGGTTGGTACTCAATAGCTGCCCCATTTGTTAATCATTGTTGAGAGTGACACTTATGCTGCGAGATTGTAGGTGGTAAGCGAGGTGAATATGGACCAATCGGTAAGTTATGCCACAAAATTGACAATTTACAATGTCACTTGCAATATGGTGTGTGGATATTATCTTAAGCATTGCATTCATGAAATATGTTGTGTGGATATCATCTTAAGCATTGCATTCATGAAGTGTCATGGCAATGTGGTACGACGTTAGACAGAAACACATATGAAGCAGATTGTTTTCACGTTTTGGTTCAAAGAGATAATTTCCGTTGCACAGTGGCTTTATATCCAGCTTCACAATAGCCACATTTCTGCAAGTTCACCAGAAACCTACCATGCCGTTCTAATGCTTGCTCAAGCCACAATGTGCCAATGGTCTTGAAACGTAACCTGTTCATTGGTAATGCAAACAGACTATCGAGGTCCGAAAATCCCACGTCGATCTCATCTCTTGATGGAGTCCCCAGGGTGTCGAGACTGGTCATCTGCAGCAGAGCGCTGTAGACATGCTTGCTGGTAATTCTATTGTCAAAGAGGCAGTCGCATTGCCCGTCCCCTATCACAAGAACCGAAAGCTGGCGCAATGATGGCAGATGACTGGCTAGCACCTTCCCAGCTTCACCCCGCAGATTGTTCTTGCTGAGGTTCAGCATTCGCAATGAGCCAACTTTCGCAAGTGCCACCAGCAGAATCTTCCATGTTTTTGGGTCTGCCTTGGGCTCATCCTTCGCTCTACACAGGAACTCGTGGTATGCGACCCAACCTATGCTGCATGCTGAGAGGTCCAGCGTCTCCAATGCTGAAAGACTCGGCAGTGCTGCTGCGAGCATTTCTGCCTCTCTTCGCAGGATGTTGTTATACCTCAGAGAGAGGAACTTGAGCTGGGAGAAGTTTCTGAGGCTCTCAGCAAGAGACTCAAAGTCTGCAGGGTTAACTCGGATGATTAGCTTGTTGAGCCGCACAAGCTGATCGAAGTTCCGGAGAGAGGCATGGTATCCTGAAGTTTGCTGATAGGAGGTCAGGCTACTGAGCTTTTCGAACCCAAAGTCAGCAAGTACCTGGGTCCACTGTTCTTCAACCAGGAGAGACGAGACGTTTGGCAGCACTTCTAAAAGCTCCTCAGGAACCTCCCCGCTCTCACAACAGTGACGAAGCAGGTTCCCGACCCGACGCTCTTCAGGCATGGGAAATGGTTCCTCATCAGGGCTATCGAGCCACCTTAAAAGGAGTGAAGAATCGGCTAAGGCCATAGGTGAGGCGAACGAGCTGTCCGAGATAGGGGACGTGATACCTGTGCTTGCACCTTCAGGGACCAACCTCGAGCAAGAATGACAAAGGAATGAACCAGAAACGAATTTCAGGTCAAAAGTACACCCTCACGCACTGTGAAAATGGCGATGGGCAACTTCATGCCAAAACAGGGCACGCGCCGAGCTCTGCGGACGCGTGCACGCAATCGTACAGTGAAGTATGGAGCTACAACCCGGTTTATTTGGACACGTGGATGCCCAAGAAACCCGGGTGACCATCCTGTAAGACTGATTCAGACCAGACAGAAAGTGGCCGGTATTCTCCGGGATGCCCGGACACGAGGGGTGTCGATACTAGGGCCGCGCGGCCGCATTTCCAAGGGGTAGTGGTTTTGTGAACGCGTGCGCGCGCAGCAACTTAAAACCATAAAGGCGCGCAACGCGGCCTTTTCGCGGCCGCTGCCCGCCGGTTCTTTAGGAGGCAGTCGCGGGTGTGCGCTCTACACGTGCGGGCGGCGGTTGCGCGATTTGAGTGGTATTTGAGGCGTGCACTGGCTTGGATGGCCCAGAATCGATACTTGATGACGTGGCATTGTCCTGAAGCTGCCACGCAATGCCAAAAGAACGTGGCCCGATTAGCCGGAAGCCACGAGCTTTCAAGATCGGATATTGTGAGTAACCGGGGGAAGACGTTGGTAGATTGAGTAGATCTCTAAGACCCGGTCGGGCAAGGCAGTGCCCTTCCCGAACTGTTCGGTGTCGATACCCCTGAACCTCCAAGACTTAAGGACTTGGGGCAGTGCCTTCCAACCAGGGCCCTAAGTTTCGACGCCGAGCATATTGGCTCAGGGATTAGGCTCTGCCGTCGATCGTATGTCCCTAAGTAGTGACCGGTAGGGTGAGCATGAGGTTGAGGCGGAGGCTAGGGCCGAGGCCGGCTGTGGTTGCAGTGAAATGGTCGGTGTGTTTCACAGGGTGTCGCGACCTTGAGCGTTTCAACGGTACCGTACTTTACGGATATGTACCCGGAAGGTTCGCGGTATGAGTCATCATCGACGGTCAAAATGTTAGAGCGCGCCGACGGGCGTCGGAAAAGCAGAGCACGTGACACCGTGGCAGATTGTGACCGGTTCCGAAAACCGAGAGGTCCGGAAACGTTGAGTTAAACGGTTGGGGCAGTGCACTGAACTTAGGCGTTAGGCCCAGTAGGCGTTACTGTCTCCCTAAGTTTCGACAATAAACAGCTTTCCTTAGGTAAATAGGCCCATCGTCGGTCGGCATTTCCCTAAGTTTCGACAGCAAGCCCTTATACTTATGAAACAGAGCAATGTGTCGGTCGGAGTGCCCACTGAGAACCGGGTAGGGGTGGTTATACTTAGGGGTAAGCACACGCAGACTTGTTCATAGCCTTAAGCCAGCGGTTGTGTTCAGAGGGTTAGGGACAAGTACCGCCGGTTAGGTGCTTCTCCCTAAGTGGCTGTATTTTTGACGTGGCTCCCCGCTGTTGGCTACAACTCTCATCCAAGAGCTGAGGGTCCGCCCCCCCAGGTCACGCTTGATACCTCATCAGATGGTGCCACAGTTGCTGTACTCTCTGCAGCCAAAGCACTGCCGGAGTGCACAGGAAGCGACCGGGCCGCTTCTTCAAGGGGGCAGGTTTTCGTCGGGAACCAACTTTAAGTGGCACTTCCGGCCAGAGCTTCGATGTGCGAGATCATAGAGGTGTTCGTAAAGTTGTCCGATTTGGTGACGTCTTATTATCCGTCGCTAGAAGAGCGCCATTGGTAGGACGCTGCAGCACTTTTGCCCGCCGTGAGCGGCAGCGCCGAAGAATTCACGGTCAGCTTTAGAATGAGTTACTTGGAGAGGGTATCTTTCGTCGATCGTTTCTTCCCATGCCTTGTGCAAGTTCTTCTCCAGGCTGTGGATTACGGCGGTGCCTAGTATCCCCGCAAGTTGCGGCGAGCTAGGGATCTTGGCCAAGTTCCAGAATGCGGCCTTTCCTTTCGTTAAAGTTGCGGTAAGTGAGCCGCTTAGGGCTAAAATATCGTGTAGAGGTTCATGAGCACCTGTTTATACAGCTTGATTCGTGTGGTCTTGGATTGTATACGGTTAAACTTTGATCCATCCTACGGAAGCAGAACATGTTTTTGAGTGGAAGGTTTTCGCACCGCACCTTTGTTGGTGCGTGCGGCAGAGTGCTAGGCTCTAGAGGTTGGCATTGAGTGGCCGTGGAACAGGCTCGTAGCTGGAAGGACCTTGCAAATGCGCCCTTTCTGGTTACTAGCGTATTTGAGAAAGCCTTATGCATCCGGTTGGAGGTCGGAAGGACCCCGCTGTGCGTCTTACGTGTCACTGGCTTTTCGCAAAATGCTCTTAGCCTGCGGCGACATTGAGCGGGCAAAGCACAAGCCCCCAAACAAAAACA